ACACTTACACACCCTTGCTTACCCTCAACAAAACTCACCATTGATAACTGAATGAATTAAAAACAAGACAAAACAAGAGAGAATGATAAGATCGACGCCATCCACCCCAGTGAGAGTAGTGGTGGTGTTTGTCCTGCCCTCAAGTGCGATACAAGTGTGACTTAACTTGACGCAAGTAAGTCATATGTAACATGTGTCATATGTAACAGTTTGGTGTATGTTCATATGTAACTTGCACATGTTTGGTGTTACTATATGTGTAGTACATAATTATTGTTTGTGCACAAAGGTTATGAGGATATGGTTATGAACACGAGTTGTGTTTTGTTGAGTATTAAGTTATGAACATAGTTCGTTGTTGTGAACATATGTTCGTTGATTGGTTTATTTGCATGTGAAACTAGGCCTATGATCGTTAATAGGTTATGAACATTGGATTATGTTAGCTGATTGGTTTATTAGGTTATGAACAAAAGGTTATAATATTTAAATTAGTTAATAAGGTTATGATCATAGACCTATGTTAGTTAACTGGGTTTTTAAGTTTTTAAAGTTTTATCTATAGGCCTAGGGGTTAGATTAGGTAAGTTTACATACATTTTAACTACGGTAAGTGAAGGAGATCCCGAGTGGCGACTACAACCTGTCCTCCTACAACCTGTCCTCCTACAACCAGGGTACCATCCACAACCCGTCCTCATCAACAAAGGCCAAATGCTCGTAAATCCATCCACCAAACCCGCTGTTTATAAACGAAAAGCACTTTACACACGACTCAAACCTGTCGACGTATGTACTTTTCTCGAGCAGTGCTTCGTTACCGTCCTCTGCTCGGATCCCACCTCTGTATACAACCCGTCCTCGCACACAAAGAGTCAAGCTCGTTAATCCAGCCTCCAGACCTCAGCCCGTCCTCCAAACAAAGATCCAAAAGTGTTACCATCCACCCGCCAAACCCCAGCTGTTTATGAATGAAAAACGGTTTACGCACGACACACAACTGATGACGTTCGAACACTTCCGGAACAAGTGCTTCACTGTCGACTTTTGTTCAAACCACAACGCTGTAAATGCTTCACCCACGTACTACAAATACAAATAATCGCCAACAGAACCTAAACACCTAACCTAACCTAACGTACACATTAATATAAATAGAGCTTTAATATAATAATAAACATAAACGCGATAAAACACCTAAATTATTGAAATCGTTTCAAAGTTCTCCAAATGTACTCACTTGAAAGGAGACGAGAGAGATATTAAATAATTTATACGTGGAAAGTACTAAAGATGCAGGTGCCAAGTTTGCTCTGTAAAATAACAACATGCTGGATTGAGCGATATGGAGGGAAATGCAGAATAGAGTTAGTAGCGGCACCATAGGCACAACACAGAAAACCTCTCATGTTTATACAGAGAACACTGTATGAACATCGCAGGTCCACTGTTGTTCAACATCCTCCTACCTAGTACAAGAAATATTGCCGGAACAACCATGGACATCTTCAAGAGAAAACTAGATTGTTTTCTTCAAAGGCGTGCCGGACCAACCGGGCTGTGGTGGGTATGTGGGCCTGCGGGCCGCTGCAAGCAACAGCCTGGTGGACCAAGCTCTCACAAGTCAAGCCTGGCCTCGGGGTGGGCTTGGGGAGAACTCCCAGAACCCCATCAAGCAGGTGGTGACGTGTCTTGACGTCTCAGTTCCGACAGGTTTCCGTCAGAGTCAGCCAGCGTGGCCAAGTTGCTGACTCGCTGGTGTCTGCCTTGCTTCCTCAAGTGTATGTTTGTTGTCTTCAGCAGCCTCCAGTGGACCAGTATACTTCAACAGCCTCCAGTGGTTCAGTATACTTCAGCAGCCTCCAGTGGTTCAGTATACTTCAGCAGCCTCCAGTGGTTCAGTATACTTCAGCAGCCTCCAGTGGTTCAGTATACTTCAGCAGCCTCCAGTGGTTCAGTATACTTCAGCAGCCTCCAGTGGACAGTCAGTATACTCAGCAGCCTCCAGTGGTTCAGTATACTTCAGCAGCCTCCAGTGGTTCAGTATAATTCAGCAGCCTCCAGTGGACCAGTATACTCAGCAGCCTCCAGTGGTTCAGTATACTTCAGCAGCCTCCAGTGGTTCAGTATACTTCAGCAGCCTCCAGTGGACCAGTATACTTCAGCAGCCTCCAGTGGTTCAGTATACTTCAGCAGCCTCCAGTGGTTCAGTATACTTCAGCAGCCTCCAGTGGTTCAGTATACTTCAGCAGCCTCCAGTGGTTCAGTATACTTTAGCAGCCTCCAGTGGACCAGTATACTTCAGCAGCCTCCAGTGGTTCAGTATACTTCAGCAGCCTCCAGTGGTTCAGTATACTTCAGCAGCCTCCAGTGGTTCAGTATACTTCAGCAGCCTCCAGTGGTTCAGTATACTTCAGCAGCCTCCAGTGGTTCAGTATACTTCAGCAGCCTCCAGTGGTTCAGTATACTTCAGCAGCCTCCAGTGGTTCAGTATACTTCAGCAGCCTCCAGTGGACCAGTATACTTCAGCAGCCTCCAGTGGACCAGTATACTTCAGCAGCCTCCAGTGGACCAGTATACTTCAGCAGCCTCCAGTGGACCAGTATACTTCAGCAGCCTCCAGTGGTTCAGTATACTTCAGCAGCCTCCAGTGAACCAGTATACTTCAGCAGCCTCCAGTGGACAAGTATACTTCAGCAGCCTCCAGTGGACCAGTATACTTCAGCAGCCTCCAGTGGTTCAGTATACTTCAGCAGCCTCCAGTGGACCAGTATACTTCAACAGCCTCCAGTGGTTCAGTATACTTCAGCAGCCTCCAGTGGACCAGTATACTTCAGCAGCCTCCAGTGGTTCAGTATACTTCAGCAGCCTCCAGTGGACCAGTATACTTCAGCAGCCTCCAGTGGTTCAGTATACTTCAGCAGCCTCCAGTGGTTCAGTATACTTCAGCAGCCTCCAGTGGACCAGTATACTTCAGCAGCCTCCAGTGGACCAGTATACTTCAGCAGCCTCCAGTGGACCAGTATACTTCAGCAGCCTCCAGTGGTTCAGCATACTTCAGCAGCCTCCAGTGGACCAGTATACTTCAGCAGCCTCCAGTGGTTCAGTATACTTCAGCAGCCTCCAGTGGACCAGTATACTTCAGCAGTCTCCAGTGGTTCAGCATACTTCAGCAGCCTCCAGTGGGCCAGCTCTCTCTCTGCCTCTCTCCAATTTCACTTGTCACCTTCTCACTAACCTGTTATATGGTTTATAAATTATAAATCTTGTCAGCAGGATTGTCCTTTGCTGAGTCTACTCTGATGCTGGGATACTAAATTAATTACACCCTTATTGCACTCCCTTTATTACACCTTATCTTCCGTACCTTTCGCCTTACTCTTATCTTCCTCTAAGATTTACCTCTCCTAACCTCTCTCTCTCTCTCTCTCTCTCTCTCTCTCTCTCTCTCTCTCTCTCTCTCTCTCTCTCTCTCGCCTACTTCATTAACGCCCGCGCCTCCCTCCTCTCTTCACAATCGACTTGATAATGTTCCAGGACGAAATAAGAAGCACTTTCCCGCCGGCGCTGGCAATGGAACCCGGGACCACAGGACTACGTGTCCATCGTGCTGTCCTCTCAGCCACCAGCGCCCTTGTGTATTCACCTAGTTGTGCTTGCGGGGGTTGAGCTTTGCTCTTTCGGCCCGCCTCTCAACTGTCAATCAACTGTTTCTACTGCTACTACTTTTTTTCCCCACATCACACACACACCCCAGGAAGCAGGTCGTGACAGCTGACTAACTCCCAGGTACCTATTTACTGCTAGGTAACAGGGGCACAGGGTAAAAGAAACTCTGCCTATCGTTTCTCGCCGGCGCCAGGGATCGAACCCGAGACCACAGGATCACGTGTCCAGCGCGCTGTCCGCTCGGCCACCGACTCCCCTTGTGTGTGTATGCGTGCGTGTGTGTAGCGAAAAAATATTTTCTCTCGTGAATAAGCAGGGAAGAGATCCTGGTTCCTCCCCCTTCCTGAGTCCCCATGGGGAATACCCCCCACCTCCCTCCCCCCTCCCCCGCCACGCCCCCACTGGGCAATTCCACCACCCGCGCCAACACCCGCGCCAACACCCGCGCCACCACCCGCGCCACCACCCGCGCCAACACCCGCGCCAACACCCGCGCCACCACCCGCGCCACCACCCGCGCCAACACCCGCGCCAACACCCGCGCCAACACCCGTGCCAACACCCGCGCCAACACCCGCGCCAACACCCGCGCCAACACCCGCGCCAACACCCGCGCCAACACCCGTGCCAACACCCGCGCCAACACCCGCGCCAACACCCGTGCCAACACCCGCGCCAACACCCGCGCCAACACCCGCGCCAACACCCGTGCCAACACCCGCGCCACCACCCGCGCCACCACCCGCGCCAACACCCGCGCCAACACCCGCGCCAACACCCGCGCCAACACCCGGGACAACCAGCCTACCTACCAAAACCGGCCTCTTAAACCCCCAATATAAAGCTCTCCTCAGTATGTAGGTTAGCTTAGCATTTTAAAAGCACCGAATCACCTTCTGTGGTTGAGTGTTCAATAAACCCATGAACTCTTATGTTAAACATTTCTCTAACCCTGTCCATGGAGGACAGAAGAAAATGTATATATGTTGGTTAGCATTGTAAATGTGTGGCCACGTCTGTGGTAGAAAATAATAAAAAAAATAAAAAAATAAAAAAAAAAACAGGAAATGTCAGCACTGTGGAGAAATGCCCGACAGATCACTGAAACATTATCTAACACAGTGCACAGTTACAACCACGACAGATCACTGAAACATTATCTAACACAATGCACAGTTACAACCACAACAGACCA